CATCTTGCCAAAAAGACTTTTGTAAACTTCAACAGAGGATCAGGAAAGGCATGGGGTGGAATTTTAATATGATATGTAAAGGCTGATTTACCAACTGGCCCACTGATTTGTCAAAAAAATAAATCAACATCACATAAAAAGTTGCTGACATATTTACAGACAAAGCCTCTGACTTGATAYCTGCAGTCAGATCTCTGAACAATCACTGAATGAACATGGAATCAAATTAAAAAAAAAAATCTCAAGGAATGGAATAACAGAGCCAGAATTGCTGATACATCTTCCTTTTATTCCCCAGCTGATTTACTTGAGGGCTCCCTTACCTTGTGCTACTAGTCTTAACAAAAAACTTTACCCAATCTATTTAGCCTCAATCTACTTTCTCCATCCTGTGTTTGGATATTTTAAAAGGTATCACTTAAACTTCATTAATGTRTATTTGACCAGTGGGTGGAGATAATTAGAAAATTAAACCCAAACTATTTGAGTAGCCACTCTTACTAGAAGCAATATTTGAATGCCAGAACCCTTTCAGTAAAAGAGGCTTAAGTAAACTATCTTAAAATAAAAATACAAACTTTTTCTTACATCGTAATTTTCATTATTTCAACAGTACCTTGACAAAATGTCTGCAATCAAATATAAAGGTTTAAGCTTATTTGAAATCAACAGTTGTGTCTCCACCTACTGGAAAAGTGAATTACACTGAAGCAGTAATTTGAGCCCTCGGGATTTGGATAAGCAAAAGCTGTAAGAGCAATGTTTTTGTGTAAGATACAAAGAATTTGTGTGTGTCATGTGCCATCAAGTTTCATCTTCCCCTCCCCCAAAAAAAAGTTTATAGAAACCACTGTCCTTCTCTGCAGTGAGCATGAATTTCACAGTGTCCCCACTCTCATAGAGTTCCTTATAAGAATGCAAAACTTGTCAATACTCTTCAAAAACCATAGTTTATTAAATAACATATGTTGCTAGTAAATCTGAAATGTCATCTGATTTCAGCATCTTTCTAATTTCCACCATGGTTCYATGAGACCAGGACACTAGATTGAGTTCTTTAAACAACTGATGAGTAAAACCCACAGAATGGTTGCTAATATGAAACATTCTTAGCATGACACACCTTTTTCTTTTCAACCCAGACATGGAAAATAACAAAAACATGATGGTAAGAGTAGACAACATCCTATTTTTGAATTTTTATTGTTATTATTTAACACAGGTTGTGAAATTACTGTAACTTCAAAGACTCTAATTAACCCAAAATAGCAATGTAAATGTTTACATATGGAAAAAAAAAAAACAAACCCCTGTCCTAACCTCTTTTTTATCTTTTTTTTTGTCCCCATTATTCTTTTAAGAATAACATCAGCCATAACTACATAATTCAGGCTTGCTTTATCCTGAAAAAAAGTAATTTTAAACCACAGGATAGCACATTACCATCACCATACTTTGTCATACTAGGGTTTTGCTGTAGTATAACCTGAAATCCAACTGCAGATGCTTATAATGACCATGGAATCATACAAGCCCTCTAACAGTATTTGTCACCAGMACATCTCTATTTCAGCCTGTCTCTCCCATGTCACAGTGAACTAAACTCACTCTTCTCCAAGACCCTTTACAAGCTTCTTCTCTTGTGGGGGACAGTAAAACCACTTTCCTTCTCACAGACTGGCTCTTAACTCTGCCATCATATTCTACATCTTATTTCCATACAAATTAGTCCAATAGTGCCAGTACCCCTCCAGCTGCAGGATGCTTCTAAAAGGTCGGGTTTTTACCACATGTGCAAGGCCAACCCATCCAGGTTTTATCCATTTTTAGCTTAAACACAGAACACAACAGGTAAGATATGTGAGCTTTTCATCCTTTAAAAATCTTGAGAGAGTATAATTCCTTCCATATCTGCATGGAGAAATGCATACCTGTCTCTTAAGTAAAAAGAAATTCCTCCCATCTTTTCCACAGCATGAGAAAAGATTTATTGATCAGTGTCCTGCACAGAGGATCAAAGGGCACTCACAAGCCTGGGACAGTCATACCCAGTGAGAACTTTAAATCACTTGGCAGAAAGCATGTGTTTAAAGCAAAACAATGAACTCTCAGAAAATGGCATTCAAACCACAATTTCTACAAACCAATTTAGAATAACACAAGGATTCAGGGACTGAGTCAATCTACAAAGAGACTCACACYAGTGAGTCTTTTGCTTGTCATTTCAGTACTGTAAAGTTTTCTCCAGATCAGTGATCTCTGTTTCTGCATCTAGACCTAGTATGATAACCAAAAATACCCAGTATTTGAGGATAATGCTCTGATCACATCCTTAACAGCTCAAAATAAAGCCAAATTATTTAACAGATTACTTGGTTTTCCTGCTTTTACTATGGTTAAACATCAACGAAAAATGCCAAAACTAGTAAGTCATACCGCCAAGATTTCTGTTCCTTCCTACCTGCCTAAGGTTCACATACACACGAATTCAGAAAAAGGAAAAAAGATCAGATTAAAATTTCATGCTCTAAATATGAAATGTCCAAAAAGTCAGGGTTCTTGCAGATACTCATCCTCTCTACTGTCTTTATTAAGACCCTTTTATACTATCCAGGCACATTTTCATTACTCCCTTTCTTATTTTTCTTTAATTAAAAAAAAAAAAAAAAGAAAGAAAAAAAAGAAAAAAAGAAACCAGAATGATTTAATAGCTTCCACTRTTTTTTGAAACAAAAAAGCCACAAGAGTTAGTTCAAAAAAGGTCCAATTGCACATATGCTGCAACAGCTTTTCAATCACTTTAGAGACTTAAGAGTATGCAGTTAGCCCACTAACAGAGCAGCAGAACAGATACCATTCCACAGAGCTAGTACAGTATATTTGTCAATAATTTCCATATTAATTAGTTCTCAACAAGACATGCTGAAAGAGCAGTGATCCATAAGATCTAAAACAAATGCAAGCATCCTGAATTCAAAGAATCTGAATATACATCYTTTTGGTTAGATGTCAAAAATTCCATTAAAAAACAAAAATCACCAAATCCCAGACAATAAAATAAAAACCTAACAATGCTACTAGCATTGTGATACCATACYTCAGTACTGCAGATTTTTCACAGCTACATAGATCTCAGGTAATCTGTCTAGCGCAGTATTTTGAGAACAAATTAAGGACAGCAAGACCATCAATTCCAATCACTTCAAGGGATGGAAGAGGAAACTAAAGATTTCTCTGAAGAGTCTTTTAAAAATCCCACTTAAATGAGCTGAAACTAGACTCCAATTATCAGCACTTTATTTAAGTGAGAATTTTCTTGATGTCCTTTTCAAGAAGAATTTTTTGGCAGACATCATATGGTCCAGCCACATGTCAAAGTGTTAAAAGCCAACCACCTCAGCAGAAATAAAAGGAAACATTATGATGCTAGTGTCAACCCAACCAGTTTAACAGACACTGTCTGTTCAGAGCAGCATGCTAAGATTTCAAAGCCTCCTCTAGTCCGACATCTATTTATAACTGCCCAGTCTCTACAATTTCTTGCAGYCTCTCCTCCTCTGGAAGCCAAGTGGGAGAAGTTTAATGGCTATAATCCTGGGCCTTGTGCCGCAAGATGGCCAGAAGATCTGCAACTCTCCTCCAGCAAACCCATGTGCAGGGAGACTAGGAGTCAGGAGAAGAGGCTGGTCTAACCTACTCAGGAGCCAAATACATGGGATAAACCTTCCCTCTCTGTTTTAGGAACTCACACCTTTTTCTTCTGCCAGAAAGCCGACAATAATGAACCACCTCAGCATCAGAGCTTCAGCGAAAGATACCTGTCTGCTTACTCCTCAATGCTGAGCAACAGCCTAAGGCAGCTGCCTTGCAAGCAAGACAGAAGCTATCCAAGCCAGCTTTGACCCCCGGAGAGCAGCAATGTCATCCAAGCACCCTCCCCACTCACAGTGCTACTACTGTACATTGCACCTTCCTCAAAGAAACTCAGAGGCTGCTGGCTTTTCTTCCGCGCAGTCTCGACCACCCGGACAGGCACGTATTTTTAAAGCACTGATCCAGGTGGGCTCTCCTTCATCTCCATCAGATGTAACATCACGGGAAGGGTGCTGATATTTTCCTGCATACGGAGCACAACGCCACAGGCTGAACTCTGCTACAAGCTCCGCACAGCCAGCCCTGGTGCCTCCTCTCCTACACCTACATCCACTTGCCTGTAGTACTCGTACAGCGACCGAGGAGATGACAGCACTGCTGGAAACTCCTGCCCACCCGATCACAACCCCATTTTCGCCCCTTTCCCCAGTCAGAGGCAGACGGAAGGGGAGGGTTGACTTCCTCGGGTGGAAAATAGGCAGGGAAAGGCCAGGGCAGAGATCAAGAGAGGAAGAATCACCCCAAAGGGAGAGGAGATAATCCCCAAGAGGCGAGGCTGCGGAGGAGCATAAACGCGGAGGGAGGGACAGGGACAGCGAACTGGGGGGATAATCCGGCAGAGAAGGGGGGAGATAATCCCCTCGGAGGGGGGAGGCGGAGGATCCCAGAGAGGGAGGGGCGGGAAACCTGATAATCTCCAGGAGGAGAGAAAATACCGGGAAAGGGGGTGGGGGAAGGAGGGTGGGCGGGTGGATAATCCGGAGCGGCAGATGAAGMGCGAGTCTCCCGGGGACGCATCCGGAGGCGGGAGGAGGAGGGTTAATCCCCGCTCTGGGGGCAAAAATCCCTCTTCCCGGACTCCGGCGCTGCCATGTTCGCTCCCCTGCAGGCCCGCCCGGCCCCGCTACCTGCGGGCGGCTCTTCCCGCCTCACGCCACACGCACACGGGGCGCCTCCGCTCCCGCCGCCGGGTCGAGGGGCTCGGCCGGGATGGCTGCGGGACCCCGCCTCCCACCACCATTTCCCCGCCGGCTCGGAAGGAGGGGAGAAGCGAGCTGCCGGGCGGGCGAATCCTCCCTCCCTCCCCCCGCGGCGCACGCGACCTCCCCGCCGGTACGGGAACTCACCGGCCGGAACCGACTCCCGCCGCTCCCCGTCCCCTCCTCCCTCAGCGGGCGCCGCTCGGCCCCATGGACGATCCCGGGCGCGCGGGGCTGCCGGAGGGACGGCGCGAGCCGGGGGTGCCGCCGCCGCTCTGCGCC